ATAAATAAAACAAATCTTGCTCATATTTAAAATGTATGCTTACATTTATTGACGAAGTTTGCCACATGATGTATCTTCATAAGTTCTGGGGAAGTGCACTCTTGGTAGAGAAGCAGCAAAGCCTCCAGAAACTCTTCCCGACCTAAAGTGCATCCTCCCTGCTCCCCACACAGACTCAGTCGTCCCTGAAAACAATACACAAACAAGAAAAGTGGAATTCACAGGAGTCTGCTATTCGGGATGTATTTAAACTGAATTTTAAGAGATCGAGACTACACCTAAGCTGATCCATTACTTTACCTGAAACAGCTGGTTGAGTCGTGAGCTGCGGCTAGTGATAGGGTCAGCAGAGGAAGACGGCGTTTTCAGGTTTCCCTGACTCACGTATTTAAACTTCAGCATGGTCTCTTCACAGCATAAAAGCAGGTAGCAAGTCGAGATTTAAATCCAGGGCATTAACGAAATATTGATACCTACAGACCAAGGAAAAGCTGTCACTTGGTGTCAATAACATGCCCCCCTTTAGCGCGCTAAGCTAACGGTGGGTAACGTTCGCTTTCTAACTTAGCTTATAAAACAGAACATTAAAGACGAAACACTCTTGACATATGAATAAAATTAAAGCGGTCTGTTAGGAAATTACTCACCAGCTAGTCGTTTAGGTAGCTATTATACTCTTTCTAAGTTATATAGGCATATTTATGTGCTTAAGAGCACACTATTTTCTACACAGCCACCCTGTTTCCGGTCAACTTTCAAATTTTGCGCGTTGCCCGCCCAGCTCACGAGCCTGCTGAATGAATCTTGGTTCTGATTGGATGTTCCATTTTATGTGGGCGGGCATAAATGCAGTTGTTAACCAATGAGAGTTGAGCACACCAAGGAACCCTGGGAAAGGTTCTGAAGAGGGGGCTGATCGTGTTTTTATCAACAAAACAGTGGCTGAATATCACAGTTAGTTTACAATCTAACAAGTGCCTAATAGTAAAAAAAAAAAATGTATAAAAATAGCAAAAATTTTATGAGCATTAATTACAATGCCCCAGAGTTAAAAAGAAACGGGGCCTGACTAGATTCAAGACTCAGAAGAACCAAACATCAGGTCGACAGTGACTAAATAATTGAAAAAGAATATCAGGTTATCAGTGGTAGTGTAGCAAGGATTTCTAGTGTCACAAAAAAAACAAAGCTTTTTTTTTCACATCACGCACCCTTTTAATGCCAGTTACTAATAGTTGATAATTATTTCTTTCTGGTCTGAATTATTGTTTACTTAATTTTAATATACTTATAAGTTGTTTGTCTAATGCACAGATCGTTTTAACACTCTCACTCCAATCCCATGTATTAATTTATGCAAAATAAATGGCATGGAATAATTTACAAATAACCAGAATCAGGGCCAAAACTTTTATTTCCAACAGAGATGCATGGTTAATTTTTTCAGTTCCAGTTTTCCAAAAGCCTAAACCAATAAAGAGCTTTAATAATGAGAGACTAAGGACTGGCCAGCTGCCTTCAGCATTCACCAGTTTCTGTGGAAGGTGTCAGAGGTGGGAGTTTAAGCTTCGGGCTGAGTTTGGGATTTGGGGTTGGGAGTAGGGTTAGGATTGGGATTGGGTGGTGTAGGGCCAGGGGCTGGAGCTGGGGCTGGACCAGGAGCTGGGGCGGGGGCAGGGGCAATATAGCACCCTCTCTTATGCCACTGCATGTCCCGCACACGTCGGACGGACTGGATCTGAGGTGCAGTGGCTCCCCAATCATTCCAGTGCTTGAAGTCTCCTTGCTCAAACACATACTGGCGCCCTCTGTAACCTGGATACATGTATCCTACCCACCTTCACGAGGAAGAGAAACAGTATCACATTTCTGGGACAGTGATTTTTACACAAATTTAGTATCATTTTGCACAAATGCACTTCTATCTTACATTTCATGGCTTCAGTTCTGATAAGTGGAAATCATTGTAGTGAGAGACTGAGAATGGTGAAACTTACGTTCCATTGACAGCCTTAGCACTGGCCACACGGTCTTGGAAACCATGAGCCCACAGACTGGGGACATCATCATCAACAATCTCCATTTTTCTGCCTTCAAAGCCAGCATTCTCAAACAGATGTAACTTGTGATCTGCACTGTCCTGCAGAAAACAGTATATTTCCACATGTTTAACATCAACCCTTGCAAAATCACAAAATGTCTGAGGTTCATTTCATTTCAAGTACATACCACTTTCAGAGGCCTAAAGGAGCTCAGGCTGTAGCTACTCTGGCAGTTGGTCCAGGTGCTCCAACGAGGATACTCTCCTTTCTCCAGCACAAACAGCTCTCCAGCAAAACTTGGACGCTCAAACCCTACCCATCTGACAACATGGAAAATAAGCAAGACATATAAATGCACACATTTGTTGAAAGCAAAGGTAACAGCTACAAAATAGGATCTACATGCAGTGAAAATGAAGGAAGGGTAACTGAGTCACTCACGGTCCCGACTCCACAATGACTGAACCAACCCTTTGTGTCTTCTCCAGCACATCTTTACATTCACCAGACAGCTCCACCTTTTTTCCACGAAAGTTCTCATACTCAAAAACCACCAGCTGCAAAACAGGGACAGGTGGAGCAGTTGAATGATGCAGTCCATAAGCCCGTGGTCTTTTTGAGCTTGTTTAACAGAAAAGTCCCTCTTGTTAAATCTGGTACCTTATATGTTGCTCCAGCCCCTCCTTGGCCCTTTTCTGCAGGCAGCTGGTCTGGGGTTCCCTGCTGGTCTGTCATTTTTAGTCTACAAAGCACAACAATCACATTGCTTAGTGTCAGATTAAATACATACACCTGATATACAAAATAAACGTTCAAATAAAAATGATGAGATATGAGCTATTGACTTTATGCACTTGAAAAAGGTTTTCCTGCAAGATTGGATTGCATAATACAGTTTAGATTAGCATAATCTTGTTGTTCAGAAATCAATCAGGAAGTAACCTGCAAACCTTTGTTTAGCTTACACAAATCTTACTTGTATCTGTTAGAATAGCACACTAATAGTCCCTCTGGATCCACACAGAAGAAGTTCTTGAGAGAAAACAAAAAAAAGGGAAAATAATTATCTTGGTTCTTTTTCCCTTTTTCTTTTTTTTTCTTTACCTTGATGGCTTGTGCTTCAATGCACCCCGTACAAGCCACGTTTTCCGTCTTCCCTCTTTCTTTTCTTTGCCCTTTCTGTCTGTGACTGAGTGAGGATCTGTGTGGAGGCCTGGTGAGCGGTTGGTGGATGCCAGTGGGGGTATTTATGGTTTATTTCTAGCCACAGCAGCAAAAAGCCTGTTGATGCAGCAAGTCTGTCGCACCCATTGTGTCCATCACACTGCTTCTCAATAGGATTGCCCTCTGTCCCTGGCACACTGGCAAGCGCTGCCCAGCTCTCTGCCTGTGCTGCCATCCTGACCATGATCCTATAGTGGGTACAAGCTCTGACTGCCAGCCAAGAGAATGAACAGAGATCAGTCTCACTCAGCACTATTGGCCCCACCCAGCTATCTTGCTCTCCACTCTCCACTCTTCTACCCCTTTCTTTACCTTTCTCTTCATCCAGTTCCCAACAGAAATTGCATCCAAATTTTCCCTTTATGTGCAATTTCAAAAGAATAGGCACATTTTTATGAATAACTCCAAAAAAACGACAAGAGCAAAAGGATTTGTAAAACACAATCGAAGAAGTCACTCAACACTTTTTAGGCACACCTATTCAACTGCTTGTTATCTAAGCAATCAATCACATTGACACTGAAACTGCATTAAAAAGTGCATTTAGGCATGTGGTCAAGACGGCCTCCTGAAGTTCAAATTGAGAATCAGAATGGAGCATAAAGGATGACTTAATTGACTTTGAATCTGGCATAATACCAGATGGGCTGGTCTGAATATGTCAGAAAGTGCTGATCTACTGGGATTTAACACACAACCATCTCTAGAGTTTACAGAGAATGGTTCAAAAAAAAAAAAGAAAATATCCAGTGAGCTGCAGTTCTCTGGGTGAAAATTCCTGGTTGATGCCAAAAGTTAGAGGACAATGACCAAACTGCTTTGAGCTGATAGGATGAAAAAAGTAACTTAAATAGCCATTTTTTTACAACCAAGGTATACAAAAGACCATCTCTGAACAAATGACACATTGAACCTTGAAGCAGACGGGACCACACTGGGTGCCACTCCTATCACCGAAGAACAAGAAACTGGGGCTACAGTTCAAACAAGCTCACTGGAATTGCACAATGGAAAATTGGAAAAACATTTCCCAGTCTTGATTTCTGCAGTAACATTCAGAGCATAGAGTGAGAATTTGGCATAAACAAAATAAGACCATGAATCCATCCTGGCTTATATCAATAGTTTGGGCTGCTGCTGGTGTGATGATGTGGAGGGATATTTTCCTGCACCCTTTGCTACCAACAGAGAATTATTTAAACACCGCAGTCCACCTGAGTATTGTTGTTGACCCTGTCTATCCCTTAATGATCACAGTACACCCATCTTCTGATGGCTGCTTCCAGCAGGATAACACAGGTGACAGAAAGCTCAGATTATCTCAAAGTGATTTCTTGAACCTGACAGTGATTTCATTGTGCTCAAATGGCCTCCACAATCACCACATCTCATTCCAATAGAGCTCCTTTGGGATGTGGTGGAAAGGGAGATTCACATCATGGATGCGCAGCAGCTGAATATCTAGCAACTGTTTGATGCCATCATGACAATATGGACAAAATCTCTGAGGAATGTTTCCAGCTCCTGGGTTGAATCTATGCAACAAATGATTAAGGTAGCTCTGAAGGTGAAAAGGGTGTCCAACCCAGTATGAGTAAGGTGTACCTAATATATTGCCCAGTTAATGTATCTATGCTTTACTGCCACTGAATACATGCAATAGGAAGTTCAATGTCCAAAATAAATCAATCAACCAACAAATAAATAATACACTCAACTTCATTTCATAGAAAACATTTTAATAAAATTCCCCCAATTTCCCACTAACATACAGTAAGTTGATCAATAATGAATTCCATTTTGATGACATTCATTCTTAAACATTAAAAAGGCACATAAAACCTCCAGCACATTATTGCATTTTTCTCCTTTAAACATTTTTTTTCTGACTCTGTTATTGCACCCCAGAAATATCCTCTCAGCCCACTGTTGACGCTCTAACCAGCTAGTGGGTGGGTTAAACAAATCAGGCAGTACTTAATTAAGCCTTGTGAGATCTTGTTTTAAAAAGTAGATAGACACTAATGATGTAACAAAATGAAGAAGGCACAAAAAAATCCCGGGATTCTGTCACTACAGTTTTTACTCTACTGCTGTTTGGACGGTAATTTGCTAGAACTTTTCTTAAAGTGCTTCAAGCCTTACTTGAGATGCTTTGTGATCGGTTAAACAATATAAAAGGCATTTTTGTACAATTAAAACTAAATACACACAAGGTGCATTATTTATATTTCGTAATTCTGTACACATGTGTTTCCTCATCCGTGTATTTCTGTGTTTATGAGGATTAAAAAAAAAAAATTCTACATCACAGTGAGGGAACTTCTGCATCGTGAGGATCCAGAGCCTCAAAGGTCTCTTCGAGGGTTCACACTGGATGATAATGATGCGGTTAAAATTGGATTTAGAACATGACAAGAGTTCGGTTGGGAGAGCGGGTAGGCAATGTGATCAACGAGTGTCCTCACAACTATAAAAAGGCCTGCGTGTGTGTGAATGTAGATATCCTGCTAAAGGCCTAGTGTCATCAGTCCCTGTCAGTACATGACAGTCTTACAAATTTACACAATCCAGGCAGACAGTCCATGACTTTGCTCCAAATGACACTGGGGTATTTGCTCTCCACTGAGCTTCTTAAACAACATTTCATATAACATGTACTTGGCATTAAAACATCACAGGCACGTAGACTTGGCATTATATTCAATTTCAAAGGCGCGTTCAGCAAAAGTGAACATCCCAGTGAAGGTACAAAATAAGGCACTCTGGGCACACGATGGAGCGGTCATGTCTGCCGGCAGCAGCAGCTGAGCTCAATGGCAATGGCACGGTGTTTCCTAAAGGGTGGACAAGATGCAGTAAGGTCAAATGGAAGCATTGAATATATAAAACTCATAATGTGGTAACATCAGTAACACAATGTGTGTTTGGTGTGTTCATAAGCCCTTTATACTTCCATAATTCTCCCTAAGCTAGTCAAAACCTGTGAGAGTTAGGGTTAATTTTACAGGCAGGTTAAAAGCACATCAAGCAGAATAAAGTACATTTAGGTACAAAATGTTTTCCCCCAGTGTCTGGTTCTCATTGTGATAGAAGAAAAAAAAAAAAGCAAAGATAATGGCCTGTTTCCCGTTGGGTTTTTTTTTTTGTCATAGCCTGCCTTAGAAAAAAATGCAAAGTAAGCCAAATGTTAAAAATGTCAAAATGTTCATGCTTATCTACAGCCAATCCTGTTAAGCCCTATAATTATATGCAATGCACCAGTCATAAAAGGGTTAGAAGTAGCAGAAAAACAGCTGATGAATCTACAAGTCATTCAAAGAAACCTTTTGCACAAAAGACTATTAGATCACTTTTTGGATAAGAAAAAGTAATTAAAAAACCCTTTTACCCCCTACTGACAACTACACTGAAGGAAATAATTATTTGAGCCCCTGCTTAATTACTAACTTTACTCACAAAGAAATCAACAGTCTCTACTTTTTGTGATAGTTTCATTTTAATGGAGAGAGACAGAATATCAACCAAAAATCTAGAAAAACGCATATTACATAAAAGTTATACACTTCTTTGTGTCTGTCCATCCATTCTCTTCTGCTTATCCTTATAAGGACCGGGAGGGGTGTAGTTGGATCCCCAACTACAATAGTGCAGGAGACAAGTTTGCTAATCTGACACAGGGATAACACAGAAAAAGACCTAACTTCACTAACTGCATGTTTTAGGGCTGCGGGAGGAAGATGGAGTAACCGGAGAGAACCCACGCAAACATGCAGTCTCATATGTATGTCACTGAATGAAATAAGTATTTGATCACCAAGAAAAACAGGACTTAGTCCTTCTACTTAGTAGAGAAACCCTTTAGCAAGCACAGTGGTAAGATACTCGTAATGGACTGCAATCCTGCAGCGGCTGTGGGGGTCCACCTGGTCAAGAAGGCACATGTTCAGGCCTGTCGTAGGTTTGCCAGTGAACATCTAAATGATTCAGAGAGGCTTGGGAGAAAGTGCTGTGGTCATGTGAAATTAAAATTGAGCCATTTGGCGCCAACCTGTCATGAGAAATACTGACCCAAAGAACACCATCCCCACAGTCAAGCATGGAGATGGAAACATTATGCTTTGGGGTTGTTTTTCTGCTAAGAGTACAGGACAATTTCACTGCACTGAAGGCCCAATGGACGGGGCCATGTACTGAAAAATCTTGGATGAAAACTTCCTTTCTTCAGCCAGAAAACTGAAGATGAGTTTTGGATGGGTCTTTAAGCATGACAATGACCCAAAACATACCGCCGAGGCAACAAAGGAGTGACTAAAAAAGAAGCACATTAAGGTCATTTTGTGGTTTAGCCAATCTCCAGAGGCCAGTGCGACAGTAAATCTGTGGAGGAAGCTGAAGCTTCCAGTTGCCAAGCAACAGCCTAGACAGCCAACTGAGCATGTCTTTGCCATGTCTTTCTTTAAAGTTTCTGTAAAGGGGAGTAGGCCGAAATCCCTCCTCAGATGTGTGCAAACCTGGTGACCAACTACAAGACACATCTAACCAGTGTGCTTGCTAGCAATGGCTTCAGTCATGTTTTGCTTGGGGGATCAACTACTTTTACCAAATTTCAGCATTTCATGTTACTATTATGCAATGCAGGGTTTTTTTTCTGTGTTATTGGTTGATTGGTTGATACTCTGTCTCTCTCCACTAAAATTAAACCAACATAAAAGTGTTTGTCTTTGCAAGTGATCAAACTTACAAATTCTGCATGTGATCAAATAATGATTTCCCCCACAGTCATACAGCAATGTAGGAACTTCTGTACTGTAACCTAAAAAAATCTATATATTAAAAGCTACAGTAATACGTTTTTACATTTTTAAATAATACTCAGAATCATATTTTAGCATATAAGTAAAATACAAAAATCATGGCAAGCTTTTTTAATTATATTAAATCACTCACCTCAGTCTGGCTAAGCGTCACTGCCGTGCTGACTCATACGCTTCTTAGATTTCAGCTCTTTCAGCCAAGCAGGCGAGGAGGCACCACTGAATGTCACAGACGATATTTCGATATTTCAGTCATCTTCCCCAAAGATATCTGGATCATTTACACAACATATATATTTGTTTTGGTGAGCAGCGCTTCTTTCTGCTTACCCTTCTTCTTTGTTGCCTATGAGTGGCAGCACCCGTGTAGCTCCAGCCAGACGGGCAGGCGTGCGAGGAGAATGTGAGAGCTCCACGGAAGATGGTGCCACTTCTTCATCTTGATGTTCCTTCTCTTCGCTAGCTTTGCTTTCTACGGTTTCCTCTTTCACTGCAGTTCCTCCACCACCTGTTTTCCTTTTAAGTTGAGCCTTAAAAAAAGCAAATAAATACAAATAAGTACTTAATTTAATAAAAGAAAGACCCATTTGCATCATATTACATATATTAATAATAAAAAAAACACATTTAAAATAAATTTAAGTTGTTCTTGAATGCTTTAAGAACTTACAAGCAAGCCTGCAGGACTCATACCAGGAAACACTGGCACTCGCTGGGACGGGGAACAGACTACCTTGGGTTTAGGCTGTTCTTCCTCAGAATCTGACTCCCTTTCTTTTGCAACTGTCTCTTTTTCAACTGAAAAACACAGACACGAGTCAAAACAATTCGATATCGTCAGCTGTCTTTATACCACTGACGCTTTCACATAGAACATTACAGATACTCTAATAACCTGTGGAGTCCTGGGTCCCCCAATCCTGTGTTTCCGTCTGAGCTAACCCTGCGGTCAGCCTGCGTGACGGACGTGTTCGAATACGCCTCTTTCCCAGATCCGCCTTGGATCTTTGTGCACTGGTGTCAAGGAGAGGAGTGGAGCTCTGTACAGAGACACATAGACAAAATCTAACAATAAAAAGCAAACGCACTGGCCACAAGTGTGCATTATTTATTACTAGAAAATAATTAGAAATATAAAAAGTAACTGAAATTAAATTCCTTAAGGTAACAATAAATAAATAATAAATTATATAATATTCTGGAAGTCACATATTGAACACATTAGAAAAAAAGATTTTAAATCAGTTATGACACTGTATAAAGTCAAAGATTTCATAAACCACACTCTGTGCTTGCAAACTCCCCTTTATGACATAAGTTGTAGGAGTATGGGGAAACACATCCAAAAGAAATATACAGCCAATATAAATATTACATAAAAGAGCAATAAGAATAATTAATAACACTGGCTTCAATCAGCTGTCCCTCTTCATCACTCAAATAAAAAAAAAAAAACAATTTAGTGACCTGGTTGAGTCAAAATTATGTACAAAGCAAGACGACACGAGTTTCGCCTGGAATTTGTTTCAAGCCAGACAAAAACGTCACGCACAGAGAGAAAATTATATGTTTAATAAGCTGGGAGAAGAGAGAGAGAAGAGACAACACTGTGGAAAGACTGCACAGAGCCAATGACTCACTGCACAAGTTCACACAACTGTATTAAAAAAATCACGTGAATATGAGGATGAATTGGCTCCGTAAATAAGTTTTCTGTTTTGCTGAGTTCTGACTCTTGTCTTCTGGATGCCACTGTTTTCCATTATCAATGTTACGTGTACATATCTATAACTATGTGAATGTAGGCAGCGTGTATAAAGTTTAGTTGGTTTTGTTTTTGTCTTGATAACTCTCTTCAGGAGTTGATAAAATTATTTCCACAATGACGAGTTAGTGTTTATCTGTTACAAACGTCATTGATATCTTTGTTTTGTGCTTCTATCTATCTTGCCATCTATCCATGCTTCACACTACAGAAAGGCACAAGCACAAACAGATATTTTCTAAAGTACGTTTGAAAAGTAACAACTGAATTCCATGTCACCTTTTTTGGTTGATGGCACAGGGGAAGATTTAAAAACTCTCTAACCTCGGGAAAAGGGGCAAACTCTGGCTCTTTCAGATCATCGGCGGTGTCTTCAGATGAGACTTCAGGTACTTCGTCAGGGACTGGCTGTGGACTGAAGAGAACAAAAGTGTAAACAACGCTGAAGAAGAATGTTCATAGGGCATTGCCAAAATGCTTTTGGCTCATTTCAATTTGTTTTTTGTTTTTAATTTCACCACTCCATTAAGCATATGTGCCTAACTTTGTTGACCACAAGGGGGCACAGGGAGCTCAACTTTCAAATGCCTGACAGCACATTTTAATGTGCATCTGCATTCGGTTAAGTTGTCACAAGATTTCTGTTCCTAAACACTTTCCCGAAGTCTAAATGATGACATTTGGCCAAACAAATAAAAAAATAGAAACGTTTTAAAGGCTTGAGGATTAACATTGTCATACAAGTACAACGAAAACTCAAACGACTTATTTTTTTAAATAATGCAAATGATTTCCTACCTGTTTCTTTCAGGTGTTTGTTCCCAGACTGGATCCTGCTGGTCATGATTAAGGCCAAAGTCTATCAAAGCATCGGTGTCCTTGTCTTCATTTTTTGTGGAGAAACTGTTGGTCTGATCCTGCGAGATGGACACAAAATTTCAGGCAAATTCAAAAGGAAAACACATGCAGAAACCAGAGAAATCGTCAATTCTATTTTATTCATATAACCCAAAATCAAAACAACAAGTATATAAAGTAAAGAACCTATAGTAAGACAGAGAAACATGGGTAATTTAGAATCACCAATTAACCTAACCCCACCAACTGCATGTCTTTGGACTGTGGAAGGAGTAAACCCGCACAAACACGGGAAACGCATGCAGCTTCCACACAGAAAGGCCAGATGGTGGATTCGAACCCAGGACCTTCTTCTATGAGTCAACAGTACTAACTGGCAGATCACCATCATGCTTCCCTGCTAAATGACATATTTGGCTGAATACCTTAACTTAAATTCTAAGCTATTGCTCTGTTCATGGATTGAAAATCCTTTTTTTCAACGACCCAAATGATCCTCTACGTCATATAAATTTATGAACAAGAACTTTAAATTGTAGAGTTAAAACAAGGAGAAACTAAACTGTGTGCTGAGCCAAAACTCACCAGCTACACCGAGAGAAAGGACCAGCCAAGCATGCGTCTTTTAATGAGCCGGTCACAGAGGCTGGGCTGTCCTCAATGAACACCGGGGGCATGAACATGCGCACACAGACACACACGCACTGGCGTACACACCTTTATGCCTCAACAGAGACAAACTAAGCACACTCATGATGTCACGCCCACATGCTATACTGCACACGCACACACAAGCATACACGGACGCACGCAAACATGTTCCAAACAAAAGCAACCACTTCCTCGTAAAACATTCCTGTATGCTCGCTTCATATTTTGTTGAGGGGCGCATCCCAGTGCTGAATGGCCAGACACTGTCACCTGGATACAACACAACAGTTGAGTAAACATCTCATCTCTTTTGTGAGGCCATTTATTACTCAGGACGCTCAGGGCAGCTTCATTTGCACAATGCCTGTTATCTGGCAGCATCACAGCACAAATGAATAGGCTTCTAGTGATTTTCCTATAACCACACTCCATGTTCAGATACAGAGAAAAAACAAAGTGCTTTTTTACACAAGCCTTTCCTCTGCGATGCGATTTATCCCGTGTCTGTGCCACCTTTATCACAGAGCTGCAGCTGTCACTCACAAAGTTCTAATGTTGACTAATGCTTCCCAGCTGAGTTCAATAAGAAAACAAAAGAATTTTTCAAATATGCAGTTATTCCTGTTTGGGTGAATCTTAAGTATGCAAAGGTTAGAAAAACATTTGTGCAAGAGATAAAAGAAACAGTGAGGCATTGTATCGTGTGATTTGGAGACAAAAAAGAAAAGTTACTTTAGGATGACCCCTCGTCACAAGTGGGCACCACAGCGGGTAGCTCTGCACATTTGATTTGACCGCAACCCCAAAGGGGATTCTTATCTCTGTCTGGAACGGAACCAGCAAAATTGAGCTTGTCAACCAAATGTGTAAACCGCCACACTATGGAGCCAGTTTCCTCCGTTTTAAAAATTCTAAACGAACGGCCTCGTCTTCCTACTTTGGCCATAGCTAAAGGAGTGCTCAATAAATTAGATATTAGAAACATGTTTAGAAGTTGAGCAAAGATATTGCAACTATTGCAGAGAAATGAGAGATACGTTTGTGAACTGGAAAAGTATCCAGTACTCCCGTACTCTCCTTTTATCTCTGCTTTGGTCTCCACCAACTCCCAAGGGAAATTTCTGGGATGTTCCCCACGCCATAAATTTATAGTCCAGTATTTGCCATGTCCTACGTTCAGGGTTCTTTGTTCTTTGTTTTATGCTCCCCAGTTCAATATTCTGTATACCGTGCAATGAGAAAGTCATTCCCCTCAAACATAATAACAGATTGTGCCACCCTTGGCAGAAAGAACTGCAATCAAGCATTTATGATAAGTGGCAATAAATCTTTCACATCACTGTGGAGGAATTTTACCCCACTCTTCTCTGCAGAATTATTTTAATTCAGCCACAAGGGAGGGTTTTCAAGCTTGAACAGCCTCTTTGAGGTTGTTTTTAAGGCCAAAGCATCTCAATCGCATTTAAGTCTGAATTTTGACTACATCACTCCAAATACTTCACTCTGTTTTTGTTTTTTAAGCCATTCAGAAGTGCTGGTGTGATTCAGATCATCGTCCTGGTGTATAACTCAACTCTGTTTAAGCTCCAGGGTACAAACTAACACCCGAACATTCTCCTCTGGGATTTTCTGGTAGACCGCAGAGTTCATGACTCCATCATTTACAGCAAGTGAAGTAGATGTTGTTCTGGGGTTTTTTTGTGACCTCCTGGATGCGTGTTGGAGTGATTTTGGTAAGCTGCCCACCCCTGGGAAACGGTCTTTTGCATTTACTCAGTTCATCTTTGTCCAATAATTAATTTGTTTGATAATATGAAACAATTAAGCATTTTACACAAATGTGTAAAAAAATGAAGGAGCCAGAAAAGTCGCAAATTCTTTCATGGCACTGTAACTTAACTTGGGTATGCTTGGGTCAGTCTTATTCCTTACCTATGTCATATCAACCCTCTGAGGTGCACTTTATCAACAGCAATCACTCCAACCCTAACCTTAAGTCTAACTTAGACAATCATCAATTAAATGAATATTCATTTCTTTTTTTTTAAACCCAAGAAATCTCTTTTATCCTTCTACAAAACACAGGGTTAGATTAAGATTTAGCACTTATAGTGATTTACATCTCTGAGGGTTAAATAAATCCCGAATTCATTTTTCGGATTCTTGTTATATGCTATAGAAATCTGGTGAATAAGGAACCCTGGGCCTGTAGAATCTAGAGCACAAGGGCACTTTTGCACTGTAAGAACCAGGGATGAAATTTAATTTCCACCAAGTCCTGTTGTTGATTGGTCAGGCAAGCTAGAGTTTATCTCAGCATTTACTAACTTTCTAAAGGTGTGTTTCTACAATAAATATCTGGCCTAACATAAATTTGCATTGTTAGATGCAAAAGCGATGCAGTGACATCGATCCTCCCTTTCCTAACATTAAGAGGATTTTTTTATGAGCTAAATCTTTCACCGGATCCACTGCTAATATATAAAAAACATGAGGGTGCAGCTTAATTCATCTAGCAACATTTGAAGATTTAGGACAAGAACTTCTAAGTAGCACACACACCTACTATAAAGGATAAAAGCACTACCTCTGTGTTTGCCAGTATAAAATGTGCTGCTGAGGGCGCAGGATGTGCTGCACAAGTTAGGACAGAGTCTGCTTAATTATAGTTTACCTGCATAACATTTTTGTCATGGTCACTGGAATGTATAAGGAACCTTGTTTGCAGCTAAGTGGAGAGAATAAAAGTACAACTTAATGAGGAACAATCTGATTCACAACGACTGTGAAGGAGTGTCACCACAAGAATCAAAACGACAGATCACCAGATTAAGGGAATTAAGCCGGAGAGATAATCTTTGTTTCTCCTGTGCACCCACATGTATGATAAAGTTACAGACAAATGTATATGTTATATACTTAAATATAGTGTAAACAAAATGTTTTTTGGTTCCAAAAAATGTACAAGGATTGCCTGCAAAATCAAATATAATCTATTATAATATAATGTAATGAGATGTAATGACATACAATGATAGAAATAGGAAGAAAAAAAAAGGCATTAACTAAGAACGGTTAGGCTGTGAGCCAAAGGCGGCCAGCTCAAACAAAAGGCAGATGCAGATATGGAGCTGACACCCATAAATAACAACAGTTAGATAAACCTTGTCTAAGTGTGTCACACTTTGTTATTGTCCGGCGCGTTATCTCCCACATACACCACAGACAGAGAGGGAAAGGCCGTGACTGCGCACTGATAAAAAAAAGAAAATACAAGCAGGAAACTTCATCAGATATCTCTGTCCTTCCTGAAACACACTGCCACTGTGTGCTGCACTCCCTCTTTACATTTGCATGGTTATCTTTTAACCCATGTCCATGGAAATTTTGAACAGGCTAATAAGTTACAGGGAGTTTTGAAGCATTTTCTAACAAAACTTGCCCTAAAAGCTTCGGCTTTGATCATTGCACACAATGATAATGGAAATTAGACAGCAAAGCCTTTAAATATAGTTACTGTAAATGTATATTTTTACTGGTTTGTGTATGTCAGCTCTTACAGAACAGGTTTTAGTGGCTTTCCTCTGCAAAGTCTTGCGACTTCTGATGGAGAAGCGATGCAGGGATCTCCTGCTGCGACTGGCAAAGCTACGGAGCGGTGACATGGCCCTCTGAAACCTTCCTCCTTCATCTCCACTTTCCTCTTCTTCATCTTCTTTATCATCCTCTTCCTCCTCCTGCTTCTCCTGGCCCCACACGAGCTCCAGAGCCCCTTGCAAGGACCGACGTAGGCTGCCCACCCAGCCCGCCACCTGCAGCTGGGCGGCCGACAGTTTTCCTTCAAAGTACTGCATGCTTGAAAAGCTCACACAGCTGGCTGCACTGACAGCAGGGTCACCATGGGAACCGGTTCAACAGAGAAACTGAGGTTCAACTTTATTAGAGATGAAAGGATTTTGCGGGTGAGTCAGAAAGCTGGCTCTGCGATCCAGCTGTCTGTTGATATTTCAGAAGGTATGCACAGGAAAAGTTATATTTTGTAGAAAGGACTTTTCTGACATCACAGAAGACAAAACGTAGTCCATCTGTCATTTGAAATGGATGCTTCCTCTCTCTGCATATTTTTACGACTCAGCTTACCCGAACTTCCTGGAATAGTCTACAATTTGCCGTCAGTGAAGAAGTAAATAGTCCAGCCAGCCATGTGTTTGCAGTGTGACGACACTATTCCACTGTCACATTAACTATGATTGATGTGAGACAGCGGCATCCTAAAGAAAGAGCTTCCCATCATTGATTAAGCATCTATTTAAAAGACAAACCGACTGAAGCCTGCTTCAAAAACTCCTCTCTGTCGTCACTTGGGAAGCAAAAAGAGCTTCGAAGGTTTCAGTCTAAAGTTGGCAATTTACATCCTTTTATCTCTTTGACTAAAACCTCTTTGACTAAACCTACCCACGTACTTCCGAGTTCACAAAAACAGGAAGAAAAAAAAAAATCACATGGGAAGCATCTGACACTCCAAACATCCAAAGGCAAGTACAGAGAGACAGATCACCCCTTTATCACCGTCAGACCTGAGTGATTTCACAGAACGTCAACACAAAGCGGAGGTCTGTGCTCGGATGTGGAAAATCCCGAGGGAAGTAGGAAAGGTGCGGCCTGGCTGGGCCAAGGTGCTTTCTGTACCTCCCTCTGCCGGTCTCATCCGTAGGTAAATGCAGGCAATGAATGAGCCAGGTTTTTGTGAGAGGAAAAGGCAAATGAAGCAGCAGAAAACACACAGACAGTAGACGTGAACTTTCTTGTCTCTGGATTAGACCGTCCTCTTTGTGTGCCAGAGAGTGTGTTTGTGTGTGAGGGAGGGGGGATGACAGGCTCTCTCTCAAAACAGGGTGGAGAGATTGAGAGACAGAGACAGAAAATGAGAGCAGACATGGGGCACCATGTATGGTCATTCTCACATCCTGCTCTGCTGGAGAGACCCAAAAGAGGGCATGCTGACCACACAGCACCTAGGCTCTTCTTACCATCACATCCTGCCATCATCTGCTCATCTTTCTTTCAATCAGAAGCCTGACTGAGGGTGCATGATCAGCTGCACACCTTGTGTTTGCCTAGTAAACATTTTCTCCAGTATGCTTTGTCTAAAAATGAAAAGCTTTTTGTCAGTTTTCAGGTTGGCATTATTGCATCAAAAGGGAAAGAAAAGAAGAAAACAAACGATTACACTTATGAAAACATATAGTTTAGTGTTACAGAAGTCGTTTACTTTTAGCTGATTTTCAGGTGCCTTATATGAGATAAAGTTCACCATTTCTGCAGCACACAGTGGGGAAGTGCAAAGTCAAAGAGCAGCAGCGCCACTCAGTGGTGCAAATAAGAATGTACTCACACAGACAGACAAGCAAAGCCCCTTTACAGCACTCAAGTGGTTGCATACATTGCCCTGTATGTCATAGGTTATGTATGGTAAGGTTTCCTTGCTACAGCACTGACAGAGCAAACACACACTCACAGTCCAGGGTTGGTTCACTGTTTTCATTAAGTCTGCAAAAATGTTGCATGTTCAAACAGGCGGTGAGCCCATCTGTCTTAAATGTCATATCTCTGGCAGCCCTGCTCTCATTAAGTGCAGCTCTGCTCTGTTCACCTGGAATTTGTTGGGTTTGCTGCCTTTATTTTTTTTAAATGCTGTGTCAAAATTGAACATCTGTTCACTTTGCTATCTACTTGACCTGTCACCTCCAATCTCAATTATAAAAGAAGAAATTTGGACACTGTCTAAGAAGTTAGTAGGAAAAGAAAAACTTAGATTCAAACAAAAAGTAACACAAAGACAAAACATAAAAGGTTGATGCAGGTAAAATGTATTTTCAATATGTATTTTTTTTTGCCCAATTTGCAGCAATGTTTAAATTTTAATATCTAAAAAGATAAAAGCCTGAAAATGTATCTTACCATGAAAATGAATTACAATGTGTAATTTGGGCCAGATACATCAAAAATGTGAGCATTAGGTAGTTAAAATATGGAAAATATGTAAAGCCCTATATTTGAGCACACACACTAATAAAGCTCACATCGCAAAGACAAGTAGCCCTAATGTCTGAATGGTTTATAGTTACTTGTCATAATACTGTAAAATAAAACATATAAAACTCTTTTTAACATGAAAAAACAAAGAAAGTGCTACTTTCATCCTGACTTGAGCAAATATTATAATTTGTACAACAAAAACAAAATTATACAAAAAAAATGATTTTAATGTACCGGTATATGTGCATATTTTTCACCTCTGAGACCTTCTCCCATTTCAAGACCTGCTGCTCTGAAGCAGGCTAATCATTCAGGTTATTCCAGGTATTAAAACGCAACAATGTAGCATATTCATACATATTAGTTACAATTCTTGCGGCCTTCATTCACACAGTTAGCATACAGATTGCCTCTTTATATTTTAAGTACCCAATTATCTTTTTTTCAAATGTATCCATTCCAAATTACAGATCCTGATTCATTTTGATACTGAGAAAATCTTTCATCTTTAATAGTTTTTCAAATATTCATGTTCAAACACTGCCTCAGATTTCAAAAAACGTGCCTGAAAGTGGGTCAACTAACCATGTTTTTCCAAAAGATACATCCTGAAAAGTAGTTGATATATGAAACTAAACTTTCACAGCACTCATTACACATGTTCAAACTTTGGACCATAAATCTTTTATGTAAATCAGAGATGACTGAGCAAATTTGAGATGGAATGACCCAACAGTCAGCGAACATAGATTGCAGCTGCGTTCACAAGCTCGCTTATTATGAACTAACGAGCAGTGGAACAGTTTGTGGTCTGACCAATCGAAATGTGATATTTTATCAGGAGACAGTCTGTGCACCTGTGACGCATTAGTGCATCATATACCTTATTTCAGCAAGACAAACGCACACGTGTTGTGAAACAGGACACATAGACATGTGAAATCAAACGCATCGAAGCATTTTTGGAACAACTAAACTTGGCGAACTAAAACTTCAAACTGCAAACTGTAAAGTGATCATGTTTATTTGCAGACGTCAGTCTTGCACTGCAGCTGTTCTGCGACTTCATTGTCTCTGAATGTCAACTCAACACTCAATCACTTTTAATCACTTTTACACTGAGGGTTAGATAAGTGCAATACCAAATCTATTGATAATGACTCAGCATTATGACTGAAGAAGATATGACTGTCATTTCTTTGCCTCTTCTCTTTAATAGATAGCACAGTAGTGCAGAGTGGACAGGAAAGTGGAGGCAGACACAAAACTTTCTTTCCAGCTTTTGTGTTAAACTATGCAACTGATGCCATTATTTTTGCTACATACGCCACTTCAATGTTAATTGCCTCACAAAACTCTCAGTAAAAGAGAATATAAATGCTTTTGTTTGTAAAACGCTGAACTACACCTTTAGGCAGCACTTCATATTACATAATCGTGTAAACTAACATCTTCACTACCAACCGAATTTGCTTGCAATGTGGTAATATGACAAGACGTGTGAAATAGAAACACATGACCCATTATCTGACGGGTTATAGCCCTATGGCCCACATCATCACACAGCACACTCTTAAGTAACACACACCTGCCTTACACTCTCCACACATTCATACCAAACCTTCTTCCTCGTAACATGCGTCTTTAAAATGTTTGCGATGCTTCTACTTAAAAATGTTTCTTGCAAACTGAAAGCAGAAGACACAGAAGATAGACAGCTTCTGGAAACGCACACAGGAAGTGTAACCCATCTTTCTGCCGTCAAAACTTCGCACTGTCATCGCACTTCTATTCTGATCTCGCGCTTACCACAATGAATGGCAGTAATTTTAAGAGCAGAAACATTGAAACGTGCACATTAGCAGTCTACCTCGCCCTAGCCTTCTTTGATGTTTCTCGCTGTAATAAAACAAGTAATCACTTCAGAGGGGGGGGAGTACTATTGAGATATGTTTATGTTTATGTTGCCTTCAGAAAACAGTACAGTAAATTCCCTGAGAATTAACAGTATCATTTCCTGGACCCAGCCTTACTTTATAAGGCAGTTATATAAGGATAGTTAAAATGAAGGAGTCTCCCCAGCTGTGTTAACATGAGTAATACAAGTACACGCACACACACTAACACAGTCATGAGTTCTTAAGCTGTGACTTAACCACACTGAAGCAAGTACGACAAGATATTTCTCTCCTTGTCTTACAGGAATGGCAAAATGCTGGTGCAGGTGAGGTGTGTATGGCTGCCTGGCTGATGTGATTCATTGACAAAATAACCACATTTACTAGTGGTGCACACCCCTGCTTCTGTTCCTAACCTCACCCTTTCTGCATAAGTGAACAGTTGGAGCTTTCATATAACCATAGTGATGTCCACAAAACAAAAATCTAATCAAGCGTGACAGAAATACAAATATAGCTAGAACCTAACCAAATAGGGCTCACCTCTTGGTTGTCTTCTTCCATCTCGTCCTCATCCTCGGTTTCTGTCTCCTTCTCCTCTTCCTCCTCCTCCACATCTAGAGAGATGAGCTGCTCCTCTTTCTTTACATCTACAGAGATGAGCTTCTCCTCTTTCTTCATGTTTAGAGAGATGAGCTGCTCCTCTTCTGGCTCATCTTTTATCTCCTCCACCCATTCTCTCTCCTGCAAAGGAGGTGTATTCGGACACTGCTCTGGTTTTTCCATTTCGTCTTCCTTGGCTCTCTCAGTTTTGACGTCCACAGGCACCAGTCCCTTCACTTCCTCTATATCCAGAAAGTCATCCCAACTACGGAAAACTGGACTGCTTTCTGTTTTACGCCGTGAGATCACTTTTATCGGTTTGACTGAAAAATCATCAAATTCTATGTTGATCAGATTCTGTTTGACCGAGAAGTCATCATAAACCACATCCATCAGATTCTCTGTGGGCCCAGAGGTGTTTGGTGAGGGGGAATGTGGTGATTTTGACTCCTGAGGCCAATCTTCAGATTCAAAATAGTTTAGATGAGGCTTTGATCTGCGCACCAAACTCTCCTCTTGCATGTTGTTCAACCCAGATTGCTTTGTTTCTCTCTCGTCCTCTAGTCTTTGCTTTTCTTTGAGTTGGTCTGCCTGCCTTCTTTCCAGTTCCTCTTGCATTTTTCTCTCCTGCTCCTGCTTCTCTAGTCTTTCTTTCTCAATCTTCATCTTTCTTTCCTCTTCCCTTCTCTCCTCTTCTTTCTGTTTTTCTATGAGCCTCTTCCTCTCCATCTCTGCCTCTTTTTCCTGCTGGATTTTCATTTCCAACTCCAGTTTTTCTTTCTCAATCTGCCT